ATTATTTCGATGCAAGTGGGATTTTTTTTAAAACTGTGATGAAGGGAATTATTTAAGAAATAAAAGAACAAGTCCACTGAGTCCATATAAAACTCGTTCGTAAAACATTTTTTTATGCTCTTTCTCACGTAATTAATAAAGCGATTTCTGCTTAATTTCCCAGTGTAATTTATCAATTATTCCTTATCAGTAACTTTTACGAAACCTAATACTTCAGACGCAATTTAACGTTAATAAGCGTAAGGGATATTTCGATGAAACAAATTTTCCTGACATTTCTTGCAACAATGCACAATCTCAGCCAAATTAATGTGAATATAAGAGAAAAAAAGTGGTGGATATTTGTTAAAATTAGAAAAGATAATTGCTTTTCATCTTATGGATGACTACAAATCACTGGTCGAACGCTCAACTTTACGCCAGCGACTATTTCTTCGTGGGAATTCGGTGTTTTTTTTTTCGTTGCTGGCACATGCTGCTCTGCAAGCACGTACACCAAAAGCGGTTGAGTTAACGAGGTAAAACGGTGGATAAATGGCCAATTGGATTCGATGTCTGTGTGTGCATGAGCTCGTTGCTTCTTTTGTTGCCCAAACATTTCTATTTAGTTGGCAATAAATGGCAGAGTGTACTATGTGCGATTGACGTCATTCGCTGAAATCTTTTTGCAACTCGCTCTCACAAATTTCAATTAGTTGGCTGTGTCAATGGCACGATATCTCCATTTGTATCCAAACCGAATAGTGACTTTTCTATGAGATTGTCTCTTTTCGTGCGTTCTTTTTCTCGATTTTCGGATGATACGAGCCGTTTTTCTGTCTCACAAGTAGAGTTATTTTTGGAAGATTTCAACATCACAAAGACGACAAACACAACATCATAATCGATTATTGGTTTTTAGGCATTTGGTTGTTTGGCATCGTCAAATTCAAAATGAATAAACTATGAATGGCGATTATTTTACATTGCTCACGGCTTGAATTCTTTTATTGGTTTTCGTTTGCGAGAAAAGGAATGTGTAAACAATGAAGAAAGAACGAAAAAGAAAAAAAAAAACAAATTGCGTCTACATATTTTTTGAGACTTCAACGGTCAACGACTTGAATGTCAAAGGTTTGAATGGCGACAGAAAAACACGGCAGATAGCACTTTATCGTTTTTATTATACATCGCAGCCAAATAGTTGAGTCAAGTATTTTGAATACCGTGGCATCGATGGAGGAATATATTCACTACTGTTGTTGTTATGGTAAATCATATCAAGTGCTGCGAGCGCGTGATATTTGAATAGTCTCGGTGTGTATTCTTATCCATTTCGCCAAACATATAATAGTCAATCAAACGATATGAATTCAATTTTCCATCTATCAATCATTTATCAGCGGGGTGGCATTCACCAAATGTATTTGCCTTATCGCTGTTTACCGTTCTTACATCCAAGACTTGGAACACTTATTTAACTTAATGGATATTTCCAGCCTGTACAAATTCATTGACGGCACAAATGTATACATTTTTAGTGCCAAATCGTTTGACAATATTCCGAATTCCTCAAGCATAATAGCATCGTCACAAAATCGATGCTCGATTCGCTGTTTTATTCTTTTACGTCATTTAATACTCTAATAATAAACGGAAATCGAATTACAAATTTGATTGAAATAAAACACTGAAGTAAATGGCATCTTTTTTATCATGGTAGATTGAGCAACGAAATGCCGAGTGGTGGGAAAGTTCAAGGGAAACCTAATTTTACAAAGATGAAACAAAAAAAAATATTTAATGAAAATGTCGTTGTAGCAACAGAAGCAACAACACATAACAAGCAGTATGAAATGATAATAACGACTTGCTCCATGTAGCGACACAAAATTTTATGAAGCCATTAAAGTTTACCTGTGTTTATTATTCAATTTTCACCCTTAATTCATTCTACTTGTCTTTCTAGCTCTTCTTTTCTTTGCGTTGGCCAGCTATGTAACGAGAAAGTTACAGTAAAACCACTATAAAACGTGACAATTTATTTAATGATGGTACAAGTGCAGAAATGAAAGTTGATGAGGAGGTGACACATGTGCACCTCAGACGAAGAGAGAGTGACTCCATCTGTACAGTTTTCGAAGAACACAATTTGATAAATAATGGTACATTGTTGCCTGCGATTGAGGATATGAGAAAGTATTTCGCATGGAAAGCAAAAAACCACTTTAACACTGACTCTTGTAAATTGTTGTCATTTGTTATGCCCATTTCAAAGTTAACAACTTCCGGTGAATGACTATCAGATTCCAATACAAGTGGTACACCCATTTCGTGCACTATGCTAATATAATGCTTGTTACACAAAGAATAACAACTTAATAATAATGGTTTTTGGGTCGAAGGTCAATTCTCAAGCACCTTTCTCTGTAATCTTTTGTATCTTTCTTTTTGTACATTCAATTTATTTGAAACTTCAAATGAATGCATTGAGTGAAACCCAATTTTTCTCTCCTATTTTTTCTTTCAGTGGATCATTGTTAGTTTATGTGGCAGTTTGTTTGAAAATCTTCTTTGTTACCATTTCCTTTTTTGGTCCGTCTCCTTTTCGTTTGCACAAAGCTCATTTTAAAACTGACCCAATGGCCAGCCCAATGGTTATCGTTGTCTACTACAGTAGGGAAAATACTTAAGTGACCGATGCCCATTTCAATAATTTCATTTTATTGAGCAAATTGTTCGGATGAAAGGTAAATTCTGATTTCGTGGAAGATCCGTAATAAATAGCCATCGTTGGAAATGAATGGCATTTTCTTCAAAACCAGAAACGATTTGTTCCAATGAAAATTTGAATCGCATTTCGATCGTTTTGCAGAAAATCTCATCTCAAAAGTATGGCAAACAATTTAACAAAATGGTTTTTTTTTGGCTTTTTTTACAAATCGTTTCACTTTAATGAACAGAAATGTATAATCCGATTTCAATTTGATGAATTCGTTCATATGTTGAAATAACGCATAAGAAATGTTACATTTATAAAGCCGTCTGCCCTTGGTTGAATTGTTGATTGTTGGCAAGCAGAAACAAGTCTCAATGATGTGTTGATATGTCAACACTTTGGTTGTTCAAATATTATTCAGTCAATTTGCATTATGATTAGAATATATTCGGATTCGTCTGGTGCATAATATTCGCTATCAATGAATTGAATCGCTCATATGCGTAGGTTCTCAATTTGCATAAACTAATACAATTTCGATGATCATATCTCTCCTATTGTGTACCTTTTGTGACGAAAAATAAATCAAAATCCACGTTGTTATCTGAATGCAGTGTTTTCTATTCATAAATCCCAGTCACTTTATTCATGGAAGTCAAAGGTTAAGGAATCTATTTTATCATAAAAAAAAGCAAGCAAATTCACCCAAGAAACGTCAGCGCTCTTATTCTGAGCGATAAACCAACGTAAACCCCATTGCAATGACTTTTTGGTAGCAAGTTATCTGCGTCATTATGAGCGAATGAGTTGAAACATAACAGGAATCCTTGTTTTCCTTTATTTTCTGTATTATTTTGTTTTATTTTATTGATGTTGATAAAATTCTGACCTGATACATAGACTGATAGTCTTTCTCTTTATGTGAAGATTCATTGTTAGCATTGTTTATTTCGTTTTTTTTTTTTTATCTCAACGATCTTCTGTGGGATGCATTTCAGATGTGCACTTTCACATAATGGTGGTTGTGTCAAGGATAGAGAGTTTTTATTTCATATTAACTACCAAAAGAAAATTTTAAATTGACTGCACGACACATACTACAATAGGAATCAACACAAATCTTTTGAAACTTGAATGAGTTGAGTGTGTGGTGTCAACGTTGATGATTCTTGACGGTTTTTTATTATGACGTCTTTGTGTTTATTTATTTTTTTCTGTTTGTTCATTGCACAGCAGTTGCATTATGAACGCTATTTTTCCTTAAAAGATATTCTCTAGGCAAGACGAACGGTTGAGTATACACAGCATAAACGTCATGCATTCAATTGACAAAAGCATTGTTGCGTTGAGCCTTTCTTTTATTCCATATTCAAAAGTGTTTTTTCATATTTTCATGCTGTGAGCGGTTACGATGGGCTTTGAAAATAGCTTGATATTGATGTGCTTTTTTATACATTGTTGGTTTTGTTCTAAGCGCTATCACAACGGGACTGGTTACAGCAATTGCATTAGACAACTATATGGATATCCTGCTGATTCTATGTAGCAAAAATTTGGGTTTCAACTCACAAAGCTTTTAATCAGTAAGTTCCAGTTGAAATGCAATACATGAAAGGACTGATTCAAAAAAAAAAAAACATTGACGTTGACATTGGTTGACATGTTCAACAATAGTAAAAAATGATCGTGTGGGATATTGACATCATCACATTTCAAAAGATTTAATCCGATTTATACATCGCAACAGTATTTTGACCCATAAAAATATTTAAAAAAAGTGATTCATTCATATATCGTTTCAATTTATATTTGTTTCTCTACAAAGTGAAGAATAAATCCAAAGCTCTCTCTCTCTCTCTAATTAAATACCTGCATTGCCCAAAGTACTTTTTGATACAATCAAAGAGCTTAACAATTGCGGTAAAAAATCCAATTTTGATTTACAAAAAGGATGATATCAGTTTCAATTGAAATTGATTCTGGCTGTTAGTGTTCTTTTGAATTTAATTTGAATTTGTATGAATTGCTCTTTAAATCTCTCAAACGAGTACTACTTTTTTTTCCTTTGAGATTGAAAATGCGAAGCTATTTCGCTGACAATTTTTTAAATATTGTGTTATTTGATTTATAAATTTATATTGATTCATTTTGCATGTTTACATTTTCAAATTGAAATGCAATCAAATAAACTGTATAAAAATTGATCAATTTTCATCTCTTTGACATAATAAATTCAATTTTTTTTTTGAATGGCTACTATTATTAAAATGATACCCTTGTTTTGGTTTTTGATTCGTTGCAGTTAATAACAACAACTCGATCATTGGTACTTTGTGCGGAATCACGAAGAGAAATGGAGGAATGGTTGACTGCCTTAAAAGCCGCATCTTTGCGTGAATATTTCGAACCTGGTTTGACTGATACACAGGATTTTCTATCAAATCATCATCATTGGTAAGATAGAATCCATAAAACATATAATCGATTACTATATTGAATGAAGCGTGTTAGATTTAAAGGAAATTATATTGATATTATGGCTTGTATTATGGTGTAGGCAATGGTCATTGAGCAAAATATACGAAAAAAATCAATTAAAATAATAAATATAATTTTACAATAATATGTCATTTTCCCAGGTATATTTACATTTATCATCGACCCACTTATTGTAATGTGTGCCGAGATTTAAGTGAGTGCTTCAAAATAATCAATTAATCACATCAAATTACAATGTTTGATGAGAAAAATTTAATTTATGAAATCGATTTTAATTTATTTCCAATTATACTTTTTATTAGTTACGTCACATGGTCTATCGTGTGAGGTGTGCAAATGTAAAGCTCATAAAAGATGCGCTGCAAAAGCCATAGCTAATTGGTGAGTGCATAATAGCTATGAAAATTAAAGAGAAATTATTATTAATTATTATGCATGCCATTTTTATATTTTAAAAGTAAATGGACGACATTGGCAACAGTTGGTCGAGAAATTATCGAGGATGTGGATGGCGTAAGTAATGTGTTTGTGTCCGACAAGCATATTAATAACGTAAAAATTTAAATTTATTACCCACTTCAGAATATCATTATGCCACATCAATGGATGGAGGGCAATTTACCGGTTTCATCAACATGCATGATTTGTAAAAAGACCTGCGGTTCTGTGTTACGATTACAAGATTGGCGCTGTTTGTGGTGTCGAGCAACCGTTCATACAGCATGTAGACCATTTGTAAAACAACGATGTCCATTAGGTTCGGCACAATTATCAGTCATACCGCCAACATCGGTACATTCAATTGGCATCGACGAAGCGTGGGATGTTGTCAAACCTAATGGCAGCTATTCGCCACTGCTTGTATTTGTGAATTCAAAGTCGGGTGATAATCAAGGCGTAAAATTTTTACGTCGTTTCAAACAAATTTTGAATCCAGCTCAAGTGTTTGATTTAGTATCGGCGGGACCAGGATTGGGTTTACGACTTTTTCGGCACTTTGAACCATTCCGAATTCTTGTGTGCTCTGGTGATGGATCAGTGGGTTGGGTATTGAGCGAAATCGATCGCATGGATTTGATTGTAAGTAAAATGAATAATATTTAGTGGAATATTCAAAAAAAAAAAATCAATTGTTTTGTATAGAAAAAATGCCAATTGGCTGTGCTCCCTTTGGGCACTGGAAACGATTTGGCTCGTGTACTTGGCTGGGGATCATCGTGTGATGATGACGCACATTTGCCACAAATATTGGAACGCTACGAAAAAGCCAGTACAAAAATGTTGGATCGGTAAGTTTCACTTGAAAATGTTTATAACAGTCAATTAACGTCAAACCAATGCAGTACGGATTGTTAAATGTTAAAAAAATGTGCACTTTTTTAAGGTGGTCTATTATGGTGTTTGAAAAAGAAATTGAATCGGCCACACCAAATCCAGCCGAAAGACCGCGTCGAATGTCTACCATTTCGAATCCATCTGAATCGTTATTACTCGATTTTGTTGACACTGTGAACAGTCATTTATCACAAATTGTTGACACCGATGATTTCAATATGGTTATCTATTCGGCAAAGCATCTGTGCGACACCATTTATAAGCTACTTTCCAGAGTGGCGGGCAATAATTTAACCGACGACCAAATGCAAGAGAAGTGTGATTTATTGCGGTAAGTACTTTTTGTTGTGTATAAAAAAATGTTTATGTCTCGTCAAATGATGACGAAGAGCTTTCTGATTGATTTGAAATCTTGACATTGTCCCGTTAAATAGAGAGAAATTGGACATGTTATTGGACGCACTAAAAGAAGAAAATGAATTAACTCAATCAAATGTGGAACTGGCACGTACTCTGAATGACATGACACAGCAAAATAATAGTTTTGGTGAAATTTTGAAAGCATCACCGGCTAATGGCAATATCACACCGCCACCAACTGTAACGCATGAACGACGAATTTCGTTTAGTTTTAGTAAAGGAAGCAATGTTAAGACTGAAAAAGATAAATACAACTCAAAAGAACGGCGCAACAGTCGCTATTATGTACGGAATGGTGACAAAGAAGCAATACAAACGCGAGCAAATAGCCTGAAATTGGCAATCAACATGCTAATGGAACATTCTGGTTTGTATGATCACAAGCCACGGCATGGCTCACGAAAACACAGTTTAGCTGCTTTGAATATACCCGCTAATATATCATCGACCAATGAATCACTAACAAATCCCAGTCCTCCTCCTCCTCCATCGATCATTGAACCATCACAATCATCATACCAAACTCATTTAAATGCAGACGAAACAACAATCGTTTCGAATTTATCTCCGTTACCAGATCAACGGCGCAGCTCAATGGACGAGTATTTTTTCAGTCCGGTCAGTTTGCCGGTGCCAAAGCAATTTGCCGACGCAGCCAGTCGACGAAGTTCCGGCGTTCCAGAGCCCATACAAGAGGAGGAAGGGAACGGACATTCCATTGATATCGATACCAAACAAAACATCGAAACGGAATACAACTATGATGTTGGATATTTGTGCAATTCAGACGATACCAATTGTGAATCGGCCGTTCCATATGAGGTGTACGAACGAAATTTATTAAGAGCAACCACCATGCACAATACAAATAGCATTGAAAAGGATACACTGTTTACAATCAAAGAATCCATGGTCAACTCGATGAAACAAACCCAAAGCATAAGCACCCTTCAAGTGCCGACTATTTCAATGTCTGATGTTGATATGATGGAACGAAATCCAATTATAACAGAAACAACGATTTCGGCCGATAATGTATATATGAGCGAAAATATGACCATCATTGATACGGATCATGTTGTAAGCCTCTCATTTGCAATTTTATGGAATTTTTTTTTTTTGCTCTTCTCTGTTTGTACTTGAATTTCGAGTAAAATTTACTGAATTTCATTGCTTAGGAACAATCAATATCCGATGAAAATTTAGCCGAGGCCAGTGATGTTTTATCGGCAATAAGCAATGAAGAATGTAGCGTTACATCAGAAATTCTCGACAAAACTTCATCCGGAAATTCACAGCAAAGTCAATCGAACATCCATGCAGCTGAAATTATTCAGGTTTGTATTGAATAAGTGTTTGGGAATCTCAAATTGACTCCCCCTTTTCTCTCTTTAAAAACCAAATCATGACATAGAATTTGGAATCCGATCGATTGGGCCACATTGATTCGCCAGAAGACGATGAATTGACAAGTGATGTGACAGAACCATTCCATGGCGAAAGTTTACTTGAAGATATTAGCTCGGTTTTGAGTCCAGATTTGCTTGGTTTGATTCAAGATAGTACAATAACCGAGGATACAACAACACTTTGTGGCGATAAACCACCACGCCGTAAACTTTCATCAAAAAAGAAAATGACAAGCATCAGTGCGACGTACAAAACCAATGAACCGTTGGTCGAACGTGAAGACAGTCTCGAAAATTCCAACGAAAATCCACTCCAATTTGGTTTCGAAAACATTGTTTTCGAAATGGATAATCGATGTGATGACCAAAAAGCGTGCGAACCAGTACGTTATTGTAGTCTGGCACAGTTTGTTGAAGGCAATGATATTGCACGGACCAGCTTCAAGGTAGGATAACATAACATTCAACTTAAAACTTTATTACACAAACCAACAATTATTTTTAATGGAAATTGATGATTGAAATTCATAAACAAATATTCCCCATTTGCTTCACTTTTGATTTTGATTGGTGGAATGCGAATACGGTTAAAACCAATTATTTACCAAATTCGATTCATTCGATCGCCACATTTTAGAGTTAAAATGTTCATTTATTTTTAAAATCGTTTTAGAAACAAATTTTTTTGACTTTTTTGGTTTCGATTCTATTTATTTTGAGTTTTTCTGTTGTAAATGTTATGTTACATACTGTTAACACAGAAAACAAAAACGATTTGTAATCAATCACATTGTTTGAATTCTTATTTGGAACATCTAAATCTTCTTCTAATTCTTTCTCTATTTCTTTTTTTTTCTTTCTCTTTCGCTTTAAATTGCCCATTCCACATGTAATTTTTGATTGTGTGCATTTCTTCTTTTATATGTATTTTGTGAAATGAAAAAAAAATCTGTGCGCTTAAAATTCGATCAATCCAACAATAAATACAATCTCTTCACCTAATCCAATATCACCGACACACTGATCCAAATACTTAACTTTAAATCAACAACACTGACTGACACACACACACATGACTTTTACACTCATACTTTTTAAATCAATTGACCTTAAACTTGTAACGTGATAATAAAAAACAAAACCCAAATGAAAATAGCGTCCGAATCGAAATAAAGTCGATTCGACAGCGACAATTGAAACAGATAATGTTGATGGCAGTCAAACCACATCAATAACGGTGACCAACGAACAATTGGCGCGACCACAAAATGAACAAGAACACGATGAGAAACCGCACCAAACGTTAATCAAACAGCAACCATTAGTATCGTCTATGGCTAAAAATAAATCAAGCGCAATTAAAGTGCAAATACAGGGATCGCTATCGAATTTAAATGGGCACACGAACTATCGACGACATATTAGTTTTGACGATTCATGTAAGAAAGATGATGGTGACGAGGTATGTAACAAAAATCATAACAAAAAAAAACATTAAACAAAAAACAAAACACACACACAGAAACGCAGTCTATCATACTCTTTCTGTCTGTTTCTTCTTTTCCTGAAAACTAAAAACAAAAAAAAAAAAAAACTCAAATTTCATCTTCATTTTTTTTGCGTGACAATAACAAATTTGTCGACAAACTCAAGTCTTCATCAAAATTTTATTGACAAAAAAGTAGTGCTGTAACCAATTCACACAATGTTTCGCACGTGCATCATCTCAAAACGCATTTTTCTTTCTGTTTGATATCGTGTTTTTGCGTATCGTTTTTTTTTGTTTTATTTTTTTTCTGTTCATTTAAGTACACATATACATTTCGATGTTATCCTACCAACTCAAAAAAAATCGATGTCGTTGTTGCTGTGAGTCTTCTAGTCTGTTTTTATAGTGATTTTTTGATTTTCTTCACTGAAAAAAAAGAACGATTTAGGAAATCAATTCAATCGGAATTCCGAATATTTTGCATTTGAACGGTTTTTCAATGATTTTTTACTGGCTTCAAACTGCGAAGAAAGTATTTTTTTTATATTTGTTACCTTGGTATGGTTTCTTATGATATTAGTTATCACAGAATAAAAATGTGAATAGAACGGTTTGCATTTTTTTTATTCCGAATAATGTGTCGATTGGGTGGAATTTAAACGCAATAAATGTTTCATTTTCTCGATTGATCTCTTATCATTTAAATAGAAACCCTTATTTTCACTTCAACTCATCTCAATGTGTAATGAAATATTCAATAAATGAAAGTGCTTTATAGAGATTCCAAAGTTGGAACTTATTTCATTTTATGTGATATTGATCCGTCAAAGTTTATTCCGCCATAATTTTGCGCCTTATTTTCTCTACTCTACTATCTTGAAATGCAATCTCTATATTGAGTTCCAATTAAAAGTTTTACTTCTATCTCCTTTTCGTTGGTATATCGAAAAGCAAAATTCAAAAAACGAAAAGCGGTTGTACAATATCATCACCACCTCCACCACCACCGTCACAAAAAAACTAATCAATATTATTACCTTGTTGAAGAGAAAACTTTACAAAATCTCATATATGTCGATTTTCATTTTCCAAGCAAATTGCACAACTAAACCGAATATATTCTAGTTATAACTCACAAAACTTTCCTAATATAGTTGCTATCTCTCCGTTGACACAATAGTGCCATGCATCGGAAACGCCAATACAACGTAAATGTTTCCATATCATACCATTGGTTCTATAATGTATATCCACATAGAAGTATTAAGCAAATAAAACGACATGGAATATTGTAGGAAATGCTAAGTAAGAAGAAGAAGAAAACTGTAGCAAAATTCAAATGTGTTGTCTGTTATTAATATTAGAAAACATTGTGATCGTCAATGTAAATCGTATACGTGTATATGTATGTGTATTGATTTGATATATGCTTTTGGAACGCAAATTGCTTTCCACGGATTATGCCAACATAGTTTATGTAAATGGAAGTATTTATGAAAGTTTGATATGTCCACTTTGAGTTGTTTAGTTTTATTGTTTTATTCATTTTTTGTGTGTGGGTGGAAATTTGAATAGAAATTTCATCATTTTTTGTTCATCTATTTTGTTTTATGTTTATCACTTCCGTTTCAAATGACGATAGAAGAACTATATGTTTTTCGAAAGAAGTAATAAAAATGGTACTATGTAATTCTGTACGATTCAGTGGAATAAATCATTGAACGTTCACTACGAAACAAATATCAAAAACTCAACGTTCATTTTCCATTTGCGAAAAAGTAGCTCTGAATAAATCCATAATGTCAAGGTCACACCCAACAAATTATTTCTGTTTAATTTATTTCGAAAAGTTATAAGCCCATAAGAACATTTCAATGAATATCAGAGTATTGCTCAGCGCTGCTGCCATCCACAGCATATTAAAATATCTTGCTGAGAATGCGTCATCCGTCGAATGCGAACGTACGTAGCAGTTTATACATCACAGCGAACAAGAATGAATCCATTGTTCTCTTCACGATTAAGTGACTCAAAACATTCAAACGATTGAATAGAGAACAATGCATGTATTGTTGTTCGCTGTGATGTATAAACTGCTACGTACCTCCGCATGCGACGGACGGACGAAGCATTCTCAGCAAGATATTTTAATATGCTCTGGATGGCAGCAGCGCTGTGCAATACTCTGATGAATATCATACGAATTTTTTTTTAAATAAATATTCATTTTATCTATGGTAAATGAATATGAAAATTGAACCGGACACATCTCATGAACGCATACGAACACCATCATATACACACACACACACTCACACACCGGTGAGTTTGTTTTCAAAGCGTCAAAGTTTTTGAAATCCGAAACCATATGAAATATTTTCAAAGGATGAGATTAAATCTGTTTTCGAAGCGAAAATTTAATATATCTGTAGTTTAGCAACGCTCTCATTATATCGTTCATACAACATTCAACTATTTTAACCATACAAATTAAAATGTAATGAGTTTATCAAGTGTGTTTTTTCATGGAATTTGAAATGTTGATTGCTTTTCGCAAAAGCGAATTTAGATCATGTACCAAACACTTTGATTCAACAACTCTTAAATGTTTAACGCATCATGTTTCCTATATACATTTAGTAAGTGAATTACTTAAAGTAATTGTGCAATTTCTCATACACTCTCAACTCAAAATGGTGTAATGTATAAAGTGTGAAAATCTTCACATACATCTGAACATTCGTAATTCATAATGTAAATATAACAAGTAACTCACTGCAATTACTTAAAGATTTTGTACAATATTTTCGTTATAAACATTGTTTAAATACAATATTTATTTAACACATGTTCATTGTAATTGATTTTGTAGTTTTGTTTGGTATTTCTACATAGTTTTTGTGTAAAATACATCCGAAAGACTCAATCAATTCTCTCCAAGTAGTGAAATTTAATTTTCACACATTGCATCCATTAAATGGATTTAAATGTGTTTAAGCACTCAAACGAAATGTTTGCTTCAATGTCAAAATGTATGCTGAATTGCGCAGCATCTATGTGGCATTGATACATGTTTCATAGGTGTTTATTATGTAACACCATTTTCGTCGATGCACTTTTGCATAGTTCAATAACAGTGGTATGAGCTCTATATAATTAGGTCCAATTATCAAAATTCATGCGTATATGCTTTCAAATTGTGAATTGTTTGACCGACGCGATTTATGGAAATGCCATTTGGTTTTACGTATTTCGTCAACCTTATTCAAACATTTCTGCAAAACTATTTTGCCACAAACGCATATATGTGTCAGACATGTTTTGGCTTTTGAATTTTGAAAATGAATAATTCCATTGAACACAAGCTTATTGAAAGCATACAGCAAACTATGCAAATTGTTGCACCACAAAATGAAGTTCTCTTAACCACTTTTCAGAGGATATTAAAAAATCCAATACGAGAGTATTTTTGCATTTTAGTCGATGCTTTTTACCTCAAATCCAACTATAATTTGTAACTGGCTTTAATTGGGATAATTAGCATAACCAGTAAACAGTTTCCATCTAATGGAAACTTCATGCAAAACAACATTTTGACCCGCCCATACCAATTAGCAATCCATCCAGTTGCTGGTTTCCAGCATCAATGTTTCATGTTCGAGCATTACGTAGCTGCAGAAAAATAAATGCTAAGCTTCAACAGATTTATAAAGTTGAAAGGTTGGAACCGCATTAAACCGCTTTACTCTCGGACCCACACAGAAAAGTTACATTTTTCGTTCATTGTGTTTCGTATCAACATATGGAAATGAACAAAAGCAAAGCACGTTTTCCGGCGAACACCGAATGCCAAAATATCATTTAATAAAGTGAAATTTGTACAATATAAGCCCAGAAAAATGGTCAAAAGTTTCGTATTTGTGTGGAACGCGTGACCCAGCAACAGTAGGTCTATAAACGCGAAATATACACATCGTCCACACAAATTCCATCATCGTTAATCATTTGGATTAGCCATTTTCATTATTATTATTATTTGGTTGGGAATTTGTGTGTTGTCGCAAGTGTACAGTAGTGATTTTTGGACGAATGTGAAAATTGTTGATCCCGTTTCGAATTTATTGAGCGTAAAAGGTTCGGTTTTTTCCATAATTAAATTGTTGCATTTTCATTGTGGCCGATATGCGCGCGTGTAAAACACAGAGGAATGGGACCAACTGACTGCTTAGGGCGTGTTGAATCAGAGATATAATGTTATTCAATGTGTTGCGATTAAATGTTACTATATTATTTTCAGTTGAACCATCTTTATCCCAACATTTTGCTTCCCGTCCTTTTTCTGTCAAACAATTGGCCTGCTGTATATTTTATTGTTTCTTTCTGTTTTGCATACTTTCTTTTATATTTTATTTGCTATGAAAAATGTCTTTAAATAAAATGAATTGGCTTACTATTAGAATACTTCACTTCTCTTACATTCGAACAATTTATTTGATTCATCCAAGTTTTCGTGGTGCCCATTCAACTGAAAAGGCTTGAAAATTAGGTGTTACATCTCTTTGTTGAGCCACTAGTTTTCAATGCAATGGGCATGATGATAATTTATGCGATGAAAATCCCAACATTTCGTAGAGTAGATTGTGAAAATGAATTCATGTGTGTTTTTAGTATTTCGTTTCATTATTATGGAATGATGTTTTTCCATTGTGTTTTTCTTTTTTTCTTTTTCTTTTGTTCATTGTTAGAAATCACATACGAAGGTTCAAGTTTATGTTGACCCTCCATCTCCGGATTTGGGTAATACGTTGCGCGTGCAACGAATCAATGAAATTCGACGGCATTCAAGTCATTCGCCAAGTTTAACCGTTAAAGAATATGAAGCCGAAAAAGATCGCCGACATTCGGGCGTTAATCCAAATACGCTCGGTTTGGATCAAGAGCATATGCGATTCTTAAGTTGTTCACCAGCTGCGTCACGTCGCATAAGCTGTGGCAGTTTATTCAAACCAAATGAACCAATTGGATCATCAAAGTCGAGCTTATTTGCCGGTTCAAATTTAAATTTCCCATTCGATCGACGATCCACTGACAAAGAGGACAAAGGAAAAGACGAATCTGGTGGCAAAGACAAAGCCGAAAAAACCAAAACATTTCCGATTATTAATCCACTTGTACGGTCGCCACATTGGCCAAGTGAGTGTAAATTTCTCCCACTCGTTCACTTTTCAAAAGCGCGAATTTGAATATAAACAAATTATAACCAGAGTATTGCTCAGCGCTGCTGCCATCCACAGCATATTAAAATATCTTGCTGAGAATGCGTCGTCCGTCGCATGCGAACGTACGTAGCAGTTTATACATCACAGCGAACAAGAATGAATCCATTGTTCTCTTCACGATTATGTGACTCAAAACATTCAAACGATTGAATAGAGAACAATGCATGTATTGTTGTTCGCTGTGATGTATAAACTGCTACGTACCTTCGCATGCGATGGACGACGCATTCTCAGCAAGATATTTTAATATGCTCTGGATGGCAGCAGCGCTGCGCAAAACTCTGATTATAACCATTGAATTCTATCCAATTTCATTTGTTACATAGACATTACCAATGGGACTGGTTTCATATCGAAATGCTTATTAGCAAATGCTGATACACTGTGCGCTGCGGTCAGTCCGCTCATGGATCCAGACGAAACATTGAATCAAGGATACTACGAGAAATGTGTGATGAACAACTACTTTGGCATCGGTATCGATGCAAAAATTTCGCTCGATTTTCATATGAAACGCGAAGAACACCCGGAAAAGTGTCGGTCTCGTGCAAAAGTAAAATATTCATGTGTTTTTTTTAATTCATGTGTTTTTTTATTGATGTGTTTTTATTTTCTTCTTTCTTAAAAGAATTATATGTGGTATGGGGTACTGGGCTCAAAGCAATTGCTACAGAAAACGTACAAGAATTTAGAGCAACGTGTTCAATTGGAATGCGATGGTCAGCGTATACCACTTCCATCGCTGCAGGGCATTGTAATTTTAAACATTCCAAGTTTCATGGGCGGTACAAACTTTTGGGGTGGCACAAAAGAAGATGATTCTTTCTTAGCTCCATCATTCGATGACAAAGTTTTGGAGGTTGTTGCTGTTTTTGGCAGGTAAATTAAAACGCAAAATCATTTCCTTTATTTTCTCGATTTTGATAAAATTCTCGATTTGATTGTTTGTGACAGTGTTCAAATGGCTGCCTCTCGTTGCATCTCACTGAAACATCATCGCATTGCACAATGTCACAGTATTCAAATTACAATTTTGGGCGATGAAGGTATACCGATTCAAGTGGATGGCGAAGCATGGCATCAACCGCCCGGCATAATACGAATCATTCATAAGAATCGAGCACAAATGCTGTGTCGCAATCGAAGTTTGGAGTATTCATTGAAAACGTGGCAAGAAAAACAACGTCAACACAGCATATCCATTTCACGTGAACAAACATCGAATATATCAGATTCGACTGGCATATCGGCCACATCACTTCCATCTGGTTTGATGTCTGAACGTGAAAGTTATCTACTGTTAAATTTCATTGAAATTGCCAGTTCGTTAGTAAAATGGGTGAAATTTTTGATCATATCACATCCATCGTTGGAGCATGATTTGTATGCGGTTGCATGTCGTACAGCCGATGCACTTGAAGCCATACACCCGCAAGGGAAAATTGTTGAAGGACCAAATTTGCGCATTCAATTGGCTGAATTGATAACAGCAACACGTCATTTGTACGAAGACTCTTGTAATTTGTTACGTGAACGCAGTCAAACGTTGATCTTACGTGAAGACTTGGAATCAAAGTTGAGCTTTGCACTTGCCAATACCGAAATGGAATTACGAAAATGTACGGTCAATAAGTCATCTGATGGCCAAATGAGAGCTTCACTAAATGTTTTGGCACCAAATGAAGAGGTACCGTCGAACTTAATGATTAATTAGTGGTATTTATTCATTCTATTGATTCGATTTTATTTGTTTCACAATTTAGCCGGACACAAGAAAGAAATCGAAACCATTCTGGATGCGATTCCGTAGCAATACAACGGCCAATAATCAAAGCACAATTAATACAGTAGCACAAAAATCCACAGCATCAACGCGTGAAACGGTCGCTAATTGGGGCGTTGGCGAAGTGGTTACATGGTTAGAAACTATGCAATTAGGTGAATATGTAGAAACATTTACACGAAACGATGTACGAGGTAAGGAACTTATAACATTAACACGACGTGACCTCAAAGAGTTGGGAATCACAAAAGTAGGTCACGTCAAGCGCATTCTGCAAGCATGCAGGGAATTGAATTCGACTTAAGATTAATTAAGAAAAATTTAAAATAATATACACACAAATTAAATATTCGCTATTTTTAAGGTGTATCTATTTTAAACTCTTAAGCAAAAAGGAATTGCAACTCTTCTATATATACGGTTAGACTAATAAATAAGTGTAGGTAAAGATCATTTGAAATGTTAATGCATAACAAGTGTTCGAATTACAAAAGTCGTATATTCAAGTTACAATATCGAATAACATTCCAATACCATAATAGAACACAATATTTATTGTTGTTGGTGTTTGATGTATCGTGGCATTAATTATGCTCATTGAAATTAAATGACAACATCATTTCTCATTCTATTTTATTATACACCTTCATAAATAATGAAATTCATAAGCACACATAAAAAAAAAAAAACAGATTTTCAGCTCATTATGTATCTGTGGTTTCCTATTTTCAAAAACAAAACACGTTAAGTAGCATTTAATCTGTACAGTTTCTAAATATCAAATAAATCATGGAAAGAAACGGGAGACAACAATTTAGAAATACTCAAGACAAGCTCTTACACCTAATTCTTATTAAATGGCTTGCACTTAATTTAATTATGCACGTCAATAAATAATATTTATATTAATGTAACTAAATCTACAACCATTTTGATCGACAATTTTTCTAAATCTTAAATCATTCATAATAATTAAGACATTACGTAGTTTATTGTTATTGCAAAGCCCCACACCCACATCCATGTACTGTAACATTGTACACACACAAAAGCCGCCATCTATCTCTATCTTATACTCTCTCTCTCTCAATTTTATTTTCTCTCCATCACATTCGTAATAATTGGAGAATATCGATATTATAATTTAAATTGATACAAAAAGCATATCAAAATAAATGTGTTCCATTCCCATAGCACAACATTGTGGTTTCCTCAAATTATCTGAAAATATTACGGTTTTTCTGTCGAATGATATTTAACGTACACGACCATAACTAAACACTTTCTGATATCATGTCTAGTTGATGACACATTGAATGTTAATTAATAGGATAACCATTTATCAAACCGTTATGCACACTCATTCGTCGTTAATTATTATTCACGTAGCCGTTTATCAATATAAATCGATATAAATGCATAGATGGTATAGTTAAGTCTCTATTTCAACGTTTTTGCGTTCAGCTCAATTTATTTATTTTTCCTCTCTCGTATGGATGGAAATGATGTGCATAGATTTTCATTAGACCATATACATGGCATACCATTCACATTATTTAATCGATATTTATCAATTAACCAAATGCTGATAGACTGGGACCGTTTAATTTCACATAGTTTTCACCTGGATTTCATAAAATCGACATTCAAATGCTTCAAAATGGGTTAAGATAGAAAAAAAATTTACATTTCAAAGTCAACGAACATTTTAGTGAAAATAATCTCCATTGGAGTTATTATGATTAATTTAACAGAAAAATATAAAGATATTGGCAATTTACCACATCATCTACCATTTTTGGCTAAATTTTCATTGTGTAGATGGCTTTCGATTATTTTTTTCTTCATATTCTCTCAAGGAACAGTGTCGATGGTACAAACCGTCACCACTCTTCTTTAATAAATATAAATTGGAATATTTCCCCATTGGCTAAATTTCCAAAAATGTTGCCCAAATTCACATTACATAATTTTAAATTGAAAATAATATATATTGAATTAAAATTTAAGTTTTGATTTTAGGAATCTTTTTCGGCTATTGGATACGTTGATTCGTATGCAATGGCCAAAATGGCTGCCTGCTGGCAAGGAGCCGAATTAGGAATTGAAAATAAAAAAAAAACACACGAATGTAGAAAACTAATTCGAAAATGAGAGAACATAATTTATTTAATCTTTTTTCGCTAAATTTTAAAATATTTCAGCTTAGTTTTAAGGGAAAAAAAGACAAATCCTACTATTAAAAGAAACCTATATTTCAGTTGCCTAAAGATTTTACATTCGCATTTCAAACTAGTTCTAAACTAATGGAAAAAATGCAGAATAAATTTTCACTTGACATAGTATTTTTAAAAATTTAACATCGGTCGCAAATTCATCATTTTTTCAAATTCAAATCAAAACGTAAACAAAATGCAATTGAACAAAATCAAATTGTTTTCTTTTTAATATTAATTTTATCAAATTGTTAAACTTTCGTAACATTGAGATCATATTCAAAATTTTCATTTGGTTTATTCTCAAACAAAAAGTTGGCATCGTTTGTTCTGGTCTTTTTTTTTAATTCACAGAAAGAAACTTTTGTAGAGACATAGCAAAACCTCAATTTTGTTAGTTGGTTAAACCAAATTTGTTTTACATCGTTGTTCAATATTTTTAACACGAGCAAAAACGCAGCACAAAACTTTTCCAATTTTATTATTGAGGTGACGATTATTGTTGCATGAGATTTCTCGGAAAACATCAAAAATTCGTTTTTTTTGGTAAGTGACACAACACACATACTGTATAACCAGCAACCAATTATTAGTTTGTAACTGGGACAAATTTATAATGACGTACACCGGCGAGAAATCATTTTGACGTAGCGGTGATTTCATCATACAATGTGTTTAAAGATAAACAATGCAAGGAGTTCATGATGTTATTTGTTGGCATTTAATCAATAAATTGCATATTTACGGAATTTTATGGAATATTATCGGCAACATGTATTTTGTTTTTGCTAAAAACAAAGACATTTTCTTCAAAAAAAAATGCTTATCTATAACGTGTTGACCCAATTATTCAAATAAATATGGAAAGTTCTATGTTCAGCTTAGAAGAACGTCATTGATTTTTATCTGAACTTGTTAGTAAAACAAAGTTATGCCATCAACAAAGATAACGAAGTCGTTTGAAATTCAAAAACAAGAGATGACAAAACATTTTAACGTCAAAAGAAAAATCAATTTTCTCTGGTGAGAAAAAAAATTTATTAGTTCAATCAGTGTCTTTCAGTAAGATAATCACCAATGTGAAGAAGAAAGAAGAAGAATCCTAATCCGTGATTATTTTAAATCGTTTTATTCCGCATCACAAGCGTGATCCTATTAAATGTTGTCTCCTTTTCCTCCGACACTTGAAAATAAATTGAGATTGATTCAATTTTTGAATGCATTTTCGGGAGCATCGCTGTGCGATTTAATGACAACGATAAAGATACACTTGATATTACAGTTTCTCGTAAAATTCAAATGGATAAAAAGAACTTCATGCCATTGAATACTGTGGCCATTACAAAAACTTTCATCGTTTTCAAACTTTGAAATATCCCATGAATGGTTTTATTGTGTGAAGAAAAAAGTGCAGACAGAAGAACAACAATGTGAGTTCAGAACAAGTGGTAAATTGAAAAGTAAGCGGAAACATTAATTTAAATAAACATTCAGGCTGGCTTTTTGTGCACACCACATCTGCCGCATTTTTCCACATAAAAAAAAATAATTTAAATTCAATGAAAAGTATGGTCATTGTTTTGTTTGAGTGGAATTTTTTAAAATAAAACAGTCATGTGATATTCTTTTCAGCATTTTTTTTAAATCCATTTATTCAAAGCCTGTGCGGTACCCGTTAAATTAATTAACCAGCTTATTGTGAACTAAAAGAAAAAAAGAACTGGAAACAATGACAAAATATACAGATGAAAATGAAAGACCACCTTGCAAAAGTTACGGACAATGTTTTCAGAAAAAAAAAATCCGGCGAACATGTTGAACAATCACCATACAGACACTGGCATTCTGGAAATAAAAATAGATTATTATGCAAATTGTAGTTGGCTTTTGTTTGATGGTAAACAAACCGTTATCCATTGTTCGCTGGTATTTATGCATGTTGCCTTCGAGTTTAATTATTTCTCCACAAAATTGATTTTTGATAACACAATTTACATTCCATTAGCAAAAACCAAAGTGAGCGCTCACACACACAGAGAAAAATAAATCGGTAAATATTTACTGACTGCGTTAAATTCCATAGGC